CCCCATAATAATGTCATTCCAATCCTGCCATCTCATATCCACGCGGCGATCCAGACCAAGAAAAATATAATGCTCTAGTCATTTTATTTGGCGTTTGTGAGCACTACTTCTGGATATACGGCCGCCAGTGGGTTCTCAATAAATGTTGTGCAAGGCACGGTGACGTGATACAAAAATGACGTGTAAAGGAGCAAACTTGCCAAGCAGATAGTTATGTTGTCTAGAGCAGTCTTTTCCAGTTTAAGGTATACCAATGGTTATAAGTGAGCTTGTTTTATCATATCTGACGCTTGTTTCAATATCTTCAAATGTGGAGCATTCCCTTTGAAGAGAATGTTTTGAAATATGCTTCCACCTTTGGAGCATATTTCAAAAACATGCTCTGGTGAAGCCTTAAAGCAAGCTAGTCTATTAACAGCACTGGGTAGTGTCGCTGCAGCACCATCAAGACATAAAAAGGATACAAATACAAATTAATTTTCAGTTCAAATTACGCTGTGAACGTTTTGCAACAGCGCTGCAATTCTTCCTGTCGCGGAAGCCCCAGAGTCTATTCCGAGTCTGCGACAACTGCAGTTGTCGCGACCATTGTCGTTATGACAATCGACGTCATGACGACGGCATAATTGGTTGATGTTTACACTAATGCGTCACTACAGACCATGCGATGCATGTGATATCCTTTCCCAAAGCAAAACTGCGTCCCGAAAAGAGCCACTGTGGTAAACGTCATGTCGAAATTCTGAGCGATTCAGAGGGGTGTCAAAAAAATGCATTCGGACATGTCTGATCTATCAGTAGGCTGAATATTTGTTCGGAGCTGAGAAGTAGAAGAACCTCATAACATCGCTTTGTCCACGCGAGCTCTCAGGGTTTAGAGAACAAAAACCCCGTTGATCGGCGTTGTAGTCTTCGTGGGCCGCGCGGTGTCGGCTGGTATTAGGCGGTGACATTTGGATGGGCGAAAACGGCAACATCTCCGAAATAAGTACCTCTGAATGTTCTAGGATGCCAATCCGTATTCCCAGAAGGCAATACGGAAGCGTTTTTCATCTGCGCAATTTATTCCTTTATAATAGGAACGGATTAGCATTCATAGCACTGCGAACCGGCGCTGGAATTGGGTGGTGAAACTAGATAAGTAAACACAGAATCTTTCATGTTTTGTTGCTGGCGCAATAATCTGTCCAAAGAACATCCTCCAGGTTTTGCATGCCTAGTTTACGCCCCAGTCTTATTTTGAACGGTACGAATTCATTTTGAAAGACTTTCGGAAGAATTGTTTGATGACGGCTGTTTTCGCTCGTCAGCCGTGTGCCACCCGGTGTCGGCCAACCCACGCCGCTCGGTGTAATGGAAACTCCAGTTCCCGTCATCGGTGTTCCTGCCTCTAAGATTTCGAGCACGCAGGCTCAAAGCTTATTTGTTTCACACGTTGCACTGTAACAAGGATGGACGCAGGGGAATACCTTTCTTAGCTACCTTCTAAGTTGCCTTCTAAGCTCGGGTATGCATGTGCAAGAGCACCACGAGAGCCAAAACACCAGCACGTAAAGGCTCAGCGGACGCTTCCAGCTCCGCTGCTGCCATCTTTCGGCGAGTTGAAGTACTACATGAGAGTGGTAAGGTAGCAATTTCGCACACCTACTTTGGCAACACCTCAGCGTCATAGAAACGTTCCATGACGCTATCAAATAATGACGCATTTAGAAGCCTTTTTACTAAATTGAGAGTTTTGCTCGTGTAGCGAGTGTTTTCAGCTTGAAAGTATATTGATAGTTCAAGTGAGATGATTTCATCATATCGGAGGCATGCTTTAGCATCTTCAAATGTGGATCATTCCCTTAAAGGTTGCATTGGGGAGAGGGGCTCAGAAACTTCGAAAGTGCACAAATTGACACCTCTGGATGGACTTCCCTGTTTGTGTTGGCCTCTCATTTACATGTCATTTTGATGCGCCTCATTTAACACTAAAGAAACTCCCTAACTTTTTCCAGGCGAGGGGCCCAGTAGGTAGACGCTGGGGCACGTTATGTTTCCCGGTCAAATGCTTAAACACCGGTCCGTCCCAGCCCGGTGCGTCTGCCGGCTGCCTTTCTGGCAATACAGAGGCGTGCCTGCATGTATATTGGTCGCCTGCCTGACGCCGGAGGCCCCTGACCCGGCAATTTGGACCCGGATCGACGCAGGGATCCTCATTGACGAAAAACAGATCTCTTATCGACACAGGTGTCCAATAATTGGCAGAGAGGCTCCGGTTCAGAATAACGGGCCCCAGGCTGAAATGAGGTGGAGGCATCGCAAATCACCATACATCCACTGTCATTGCCAGAGGCCTCCGATCAACGCAAGAGCCTCTCTGGCATTCAGGGTCCAGTATCTGTCCCTGTTCAGCAAATGATGCCCCGGCCAACTCGGGACCCCCTGCCGACACATGACTCTTTGTAGGGCACTGTGGGCCCCTGACCAGCACAAGGGTTTCATCATTCCAGGGGTCCCGACCAACGCAAATAACGGGTACCGGCCTTGTCCTCGCCTGAGAAATGGGCTCCGAAAGCTCATACCGACACGGAGCCGGCTGTTCGTTTATGGGGTTTCTGACAGAAATAGAGGCCGTCGTCGTAGGGTGTCTCCGATCGGTGCGAAAGGCTTCCCGACTGACTTTCGAGCGCCCGACTCCGCAACCCGGGGTCCTTAATATAACCTACAGCTGCATTTGTGCTTTCCGATGTGTGTGCGATGACGTGTATACCATGTGGTTCCTGGAGCGTAGTACGTAGGTGGGCCGCCCGACATCTAGCGGCCGTGATGTAAGCTGTGTCGAACGGGTGTTCGGGACCGCGGAATAAAGAGCGTGGATTGCGAGGCAGTAGTCCAAATACCGAACACTGAGAAGTCACCGGACGTATTACCTTCCAATCAGACACTTGAGCGTCAGTTCTTAAGGAAACTTAAGCATCGCTATAATTCATTTCCCCGCTCTTCCTCGGCGGAAGATGTTGTTAGGAATCATCAACAGTTTTGTTTGGCTCGATCATCGAAACCAGGTGTCGGCAATCAACACAGAGTCGATTTTATGTGGCTTCAGACGTTTTTAGACGTGTATGGCTTGAGGAGTGAAGAGATAAAGTTAATGTGCGCGATTATTAAAGGCTGCCACGGAAACCTCCGACTAGGTGCCGTAAGGCGGGCTGCAGACTGCAACACAGTGCTCTAGTTGGGCATATTTGACATGGCTAGTGCTGTTTCGGCTGTCGTCGGAGGACTACCGCTTATGGTTTAGTCAGCTGGTGTCGATCGTCGAGTTTTTACAGCTAGTCCATCGGATATTCACGTTGAATCGAATCGGAAAAGTCAAATGGCACATTTCAATGGCACAAGTCAAATGACACATTTCAATGGTCTTTCCGAACGTTGCCGGCTAAATGCTCACGTTTTTTAGTGCTAACATTTGACCAAATTGTTCTCAATTTCCCAAGGACATCGCATCTTGTCGCGGCAAAATGGCGCAGCTTGCCGCAGTCTGTGAACTTTTAAACAACACTGAATAATCCGAAAGCACTCAGACCATAGCAAAACTACATCAGAGTCAACTAGACATAAACATCGCACAATCAAAGCATGTACTATGCAAGAAAAACAGAACATACCGAAGTAGACACGGCATGAACGCGGAGCTTTTACAGCGTGACAGCCCAGCCAGGCGCACTCAATTGAGCATGCCATCGCAGTTTTCATTCTCTTCGTTCCTTTCATATATGGAGCGATTAGCATAAACTTTCTTTGAAACTGATCTAATTTTGACTTCCCATTTGTAATGCCCTGCTTACACTTTGGCTCTCGAGAATTGGGGGGCGACAAACTTACCATTGAGGGAGCGAATTCGACATGGGGGGGGGGGGGGGCAGTGGCCCACCCAAAATAATACAAATCGACACCCGTGGTAAGTACCCATGGTAATGGTGAGTACCACTACCCTCGCTTTTGTTATACTGCACATTCAATACAGAAAGAAACTCGTGAGTGATGCGGCACATTTTGTATGGAAATGCCTGGGATCCGAAACAATAATGCGCGCGTAGCACACATTTCTGCCCCAGTGCCACACTTGCGAGATTTCCCCAGAGGGCGATAACGCTCGGTACACCGCTTAAGTGCATGCCTCGTTAGTCAGTGTCCGGTATATAGCCGGCTGGGGAGAAGCACACATCATGCTAAAACGCCCGGCGGAGCATAACGCTGTGTTGTGGCATTGCATGACGCCCTAGGACTATTTCCGCTGACATCATTAGTTGAGAGAGAATTCCTCTTCTAGGGCTCTGGGCTAGGCGTCTTAATGAGCGTCCTTCCAGAATCTTCAGCCCCACAGCCATCCCACAAGATGTTTGGTCAAATTTCTATTGAAAGATTGACGCTGTTCCCACGTCATGATAATCATATTGGCGTGATCCATAGCACATCGCTGCAGCACACCTAATTGGAGCCAGCCTTGTTGGTGAGGTACAGTATTGAGTGCCGCTGCTGATGAGCCTGTCATTCGCTTACAAGCGGGGTAGGGGGACTTCGCCGGCGTCATGGGTAGTTATGTGCACTCATGTCGCTGGCTGAATGATTTCGATGTTTTTTAGAGAAATTTGTGGAAAACATCGAGAGAAAACAAAATCACTAAGCAATGTAAGCAAACATTTATGATCAGACTCAGAAATAGGTTCACTCAGGGGATCGTGGACATTCATTACTCTTCTGGGAAAGAGAATGCTAGCATATGGTGCAGACACATCAAGGCAACTTGCTGATATCACTAACACCACTGAACACAAATCCGAACGTGAATGGCGCGAGCTCAGAAACAAGTACGCGAAGGGAGAGGGAAACAAAGGAACGAAAGCAAATGCATAGCATATGGACACAGTCACGGAAACCCCAGGATGACCCAGAATCATTTCTCGCATCCCCACCCTGCAGAGCAGCACAGCACGCCACCTCGCCACCAGCCTCACCTGGTCAGGTCAATCGACTCGTTGGAGGAAGTCCAGGCCTCGGAGCGCGGCGGCTTGCTGCGCCGCTTGTGCGTGTGCGGCGTCCACGTCTTCTGGCGAGCATCGCCGGCGACGGCGTTGGCGGCAGCGGCCCGCTCCGGCGGCACGGTTGGCACGCTGCGCCACTTGACGGCGGTGCGGCGGCGGCGGCGGCCGGCGCGGCGCGACGCACCGCCCGCCGCTAGTCGTTCGGAGCTCGGGTAGTCGTACAAGCAGTCCGAGTCGGTGCACGGTAGTTCCAGCTTGCCGAAGAACTGGCGCGAGAAGCGGCGCACTGTGCGGTCACTCAGCGGCGACTCGGAGCGCGAGGAGGCCGGGCTCGGCCGCTGCGGCTCTTCCAGCGATGAGTCGGACGGCAGTGCCGGCGGCGGGTGCACTACGATTTGCGGCGGCGGCGGCGGCACGGGCGGCGGCGGTGGCGGCGGCGGTGGTGGCGGCGGCGGTGGCAGCGCTTCGGGCCGTGGCATCTCGGGGTCCGTCGACAGGCAGTCGTCGTTGCTGCCGAGCGCCGAGTCGTCTTCGAGCGTGGCCTGGTGGAGCAGAGCCGGCCGCCGCGGCGCGGTGCCCGTCTCCTCCACCAGAGGGTTGGTGGACGAGCAACGCGACGGCGCCGGGCTGTAGGCCGAGCTGTAGCCGGACGAGCTCAAATTGGACTCAGAGTTGCTGTGCGCCGCGTCCGGCGCGAACGGCGCCAGCAGCAGACCGCTCGTGTGCCGCGTGCTGTCCGTGTCCGAGTCCTGTTCGCTCATGTTGCGCGACAGCTGGCGGCCAGGACGCGACTGAAGTTCCAGCGAGTCGGCGCGGCTCGCCTCGCGCAGGCATGGCGTTTTGCGGAGCATGCTGAGTGCGTGCGGCGCGCTCAGCTTACGCTCGCCGACGACAGGCGGCGCCAGCGGCGTCAGCGGCGCGTCGTCTGTCGGCGAGGCCGCCAGGAACGTGAACGACGGCACCGTCACCTCCAGTGGCGTCAACGGCGGTGGGGGCGGCGGCGGCAACGGTGTCGGTGGCGAGGTCGGCGGCGGCGGGCTGCCCTCCGCGTCACCGTCTTCCTCCGAGATTATGATAGCCGGCGGGCATGGCGGCGGCGCAGGCGGCGTCACCGGCAACGGCAGCTCCTCGCTCTCCGGCGACGTGTTGGTCGTCTCGATGATCACCATCGGGATGGGGAAGTTGCAGCTGTATTTTCGGTTGAACGTCGGCGACGGCGTGCGGTTGCTGGCGTCAGCGTTGATGTCCAGGGAAGCGCTACTGGTGCGCGACTGCTCGTTGCCCGACATGGACATGGTGGTGGACGCGTCCGAGTCCATGTCCGACACGCGGTGCTCCAGGTGGATATGGATCGGGTGGCGCGCCATCCGGATCGGCGTCGGCAGCGGCGACGGCGACGGCGTCGGCACCTCCGTGATGGGCGAGAGGCACCGGTAGTCGTGGCTGGGGATCTCGAGCGTCACCGACTGCGCCGAGACGGCGCCGCCGTTCTTCCCGTTGCCGCCAGCGTACACGGGGATCTCGAGGCTGTTGGCGGCGGTCTTCTCGGCGGCGGCGACGGCGCCCGGCGACGAGGGTCCGTTGGCCAGCGGCGCCTCGTCGCCGTGGTCCGAGTTGGCCGGACTGGACGGCGTCGAGACGGAGCGGCCGTTGGCCCAGCCGCGCAGCATCGACAGGATGCTGTCGGCGCTCGTGATCTTGGCGATGGGCCGGTGGCGCGGCGACGAGGGTGTCGACAGCGACTGGATGAGCGCCGAGCGGCGCACGGCGTCCGGCGTCAGGTCAGAGCCCGTCGACGTCGTCTCCACGGCGTCGTCGGGCGGCACGCAGGCCAAAGCCCGGCCACGCCGCTTGAACGAGAGCGATCGCCGCGACTGGCCGCCCAGCAGGCTCTGTGGCTTGTAGCTGCAGCTGGCCTCGCTGACACAGCTCAGGTCGGAGCCGGACGAGGTCATCATGTCGCGCGACACGTGCGACATGAGCGACGCGAACTTGACGCGCTTGTCAAACTTGCTGCCCATGATGTCATGGAACGAGGTGTCGGCCAGCGCCGTGTCGTCCACTGACTGCGGTCCTCTCTTCCGCTGGTCCTGGGGTGAACACCGGTATTCCAGCTCATTGATGCTTAACGATCGACAGTTTGGGTCACGAACAGCAAGCATCTCTGTACTCAATCCCTAACGATGGTCACATATACGCAGGGACCTGATGTTGTTTCAGATATCAAACTCGTGTATCAAATTGCTTTTAAACACGATAAAACTGGTATCGAACCCGCCAATACACCGACAACTGACGATCAACGGAGTGAATCATAAGCGCCAAGAGTCTGTGTCGCGTGGCGACGCCGCCCCCCCCCCCCCCCCCCCCCAGATGCGAAGGCTCTCGCCAGCTACCGGCGCAAAGCCGTAGCGCCCGTCTCACCCCGAGTTTCATCTCGGCCAGCTGGATGAACTCCTCGTAGCTTCTGCTGCGCTCGCTGAGCGGGTCGCGCGGCGTCACCAGGCCACGCAGGATGCCCCGCGACTCGACGTCCAGCTCGTGCGACTCCGCCGACGAGTTACGCTTGTAGTAGGGACAGCCCAGCGGCGAGCGCGAGCCTGCGCGGGGCCGGGCGGGGTCAATGCACGAGGCCGCCGGCCGGTCCCGACACAGCCAGCCGCCCATTTGCAGTCAGACGTAAGCAAATCAAGCTCAGAACGGACATCCTTGTCGGCTGCAAGCGGGGATCCATATCGCATGTTTTGGTAATTTATGACCGGCACTGGCAGACATTTAGTGTGGAGCGCAGTCTGTTATAGCTGGCGGCCGGCATATTGCAGGCGGTCATGAGCCAAATGCGCCTTGGACCAGGTTGGCCTGCCATACACAAGAAAAGGCACCCTACTAAATCCAGGCACCAAACAGTAGCGACAACACTACCCGAGCTGACCACAGGTACCTGCGCCGCTGCCAACCGCCGCTGCTGCGCCGGCAGCCGGCCTCACCTCGCCACCTCTCTCCTGACCTCACCTCGCCACCTCTCCCCCGCGCCGCGCCGTGCCGGGTCGCGCCGGGACGGGGCGGGGCGAGCGCGCGGCCCCGGCCGTCGGCGTCGCCTCACTTACGTCTGCGCTTGAGCGGCGCGCGGAAAAAGTCCTCGACGCTGCGGCGCAGGTCGTGGCCGGGCGACGACGCCACGGAGGAGAGCGACAGCAGCGAGACGCGCGAGGTCTTGCGCAGGCTAAGCCGCTGCAGGAAGCTGCGCTGCGGCGGCGGCGAGCTGGCCGGAGAGTCGCGCAGTAGCGCGTGCGACGCATGCGGCGACGGGATGTAGCCTAGGGGCGGCGCGCGGCCGTCAGCGCACGGACGGTGGCCGAGGCTGGCGCGCCGCACAGCGCTACACGACCAGGGCTACGTCGCTGCTACCGGGCGGGGCTACTCGACCAGTACGTGGCCGACAAACCTGACTCCTGGAGTTATACACGAGCCTGCTTTTATTGTAGCCGTGATCAGCGGGTTATTTCCTCCGCATGCATGGTGTGTAGGACACGACAATCGGCGTAAGATAACCAGTTTCTGTCATTGCGCTGGCAGTGCGCAAGACGACGGCCTTAAACGTTGACACCCTGATCTTCCACACCGCGGCAGGAATGCGCTCGCTTTCTGCAAGCAATGTTTGTGCGAGACGCAGACGTAAAGTACAAGTTCAGGCTCAGAGCAACCCATCTGCAAGTTTGGCGACGATAAACGATACAGAAACGCCAGAGCGCACTCGCGTGCACTGAGGCCAAATGCTGAGGCACTGAACGTCATTTTATCTGTGTGGGTACATGGGTCCATGTGAACTGTGCTTCCCATATGTCCGGGCGAGAGCGTCAAGCGTGCGTACATATATTCGTGTTTATATATTAGCATCATCGCAGTGCTGGCACCATGCTGTTTATGTTCTACGTGATGCATCATGTTACCAGCAAGAAACAGCACGCGATTCATTTGGAAATCACGAGCTGCCTGACAACGTCCCTGTCCGTGAAAGGAAAGACGTGATCAACTGAACATTGCATCCAGTTGTAATATAAAATTATTGTATGCTATACAACGCCTTGAAAGCATCTCAAATCAGATGACAACTGTGTACTGTTATCTTTTCTTGAAAAACCGCTGGATCAAAATTCGGACGGATGAACATGATATTAAGATCTTACGTATTTCGCAAGCCATCCATGCCTACAACTACAACAGCTGTCCCCAGGCCACAGGAGCGTCTCAAATGCGTGCGCTGTCAGCTGCCTTCAGAAATACCAACAAACTGTCGGGAGGTGTCTGAGAGAAGCACCGATCATGATACTTTCAAACGGAATAGCACACTTCACGCAATGCAGATCAGCTGCTCGAAAATTTCCGTTAAAAAAACTGAGCACGTGGTCTGTTCGGCGCGCACGCCAATCTTCTATCCAACCCCAAGTCTTCTATCCAACCCCGCCCATAATTGGCCGGTATTGCTGGGAGCTAACCACGCTAGAGCTTTACGTCTACGCAGCACCTCTGCACCGGAAGAACGGTGTCGCGTCGGCGCCAAGCACACAAGAACGCACACACGGCACACACTACTTTCAGCTGTGAGCGAACTATGTTCGTGCTGGCCTACACGCCTCACACCTACTTGTGTGACGCTACTGGGGTGCGCACGGTAATGCCACACTGGTCGGCTGGCTGTTACCTCTGGCCCTGGCGTCAGGCCGCGCGCTAGCGCTCGGCGGCTGCGCGCTGTTGATGGCCGCAGCGGGTCCGGCAGGCGCGCGGGGAGCTTCGCAACACCCGGTCAGGTCATGAGGATGTACGATGGACAAGTGTTGCGGCCAAGGTATGTGCAAGACTCATCAAGTGTCGCGCCAACGGCATATGCCTGACCCATCAAGTGTTGCGCCCTCGGTATATGCCTGACCCATGAAATGTTGCGCCCTCGGTATATCCAAGACTCATCAAGTGTTGCGCCCTCGGTCTATGCCTGACCCATCAAGTGTTGCGCCCACGGTATGTGCCTGACTTATGGGGTGTACGGCGATAGAGAAAACAGCGGAAGTAGTCCAGTGATGGTCAGTTTTTGATTGAAGTGTAGGCAGGGCACAGACACGGTTATGCGGAGTGGGGCGGCGCATCTCAGAGGGTTGAGTGTAGGCAGGAGGCACAGGCGGCGGCGCGCAATACAAGCTGCACGTCGCGAGCACCGCTTACTAATAAAACACAGACTGTGAAGACCCTAGAAGTCAAGGAAGAAACCGTAAAAGGTCCACCCAGCAAACGTACAAAACAGACAGAGGCATTCTCAAGAAGACGTTCTACGGGCACAAACGCAGAAGCAAGGGTCTCGACACCTCAGAGAAATGCGACTACCTTTACCAACTATGTCAAATGCGCTAGGTTGCCATATGCAGTTTTACGTATTTGGTCGCCATCTAACCACCAAGTCGCTTACGAAAACAGGGCTACTATTTTATGCAATGTGTATCATAACTGAGTGCATTCGCCGTAAATCGACCACCACAGGCCTCTGGAGCAGCAGGCTTTCCCAATATTACAACCTTTGCGTTTGTATCGCCATTGACCTTTCGGGCGTACCACCGGACGCCCCTAACGCTCCGTCATTTGTCTTCGATTATCAAGCTAAAAGCCTGATTGCGTGACTCGGGGACTTAGACATAACGACAGGATCCCAGCCAACCCGTTTTTTGTTACCAACTACCCTCAGTAGACCTTTGTATTCACAACCTGTCACGTCTTCCCAAGCACCCCGCGGTGTTCCGCCGTTTGAGGTGATGAAACCCTGAAGATTGGAGTCACCTTGACCATTAACGTGGAAGCAGCACTGATGTCAGACTTTTCCACTTCAATTTTAAATGCAGGTAGATCGATAAAAGTATGCACAGGCCCAAAGACGCACTGAAGTGTTATACGTTCAGCTTCAAATAAACACGTCGGTCTTGTCAAAACCATTCGCAGCATGAAACCCTCTTCACTTAATGAGTATCACCTGAGTGAACAGAAATATGAAATACTTATACTTAACGTTTAGTTTATGATGACAGTTCAGCTCCAGAACTATTAACACATCAAGTTTGATAAGATTTTGCTTTGTTGAACCAGCCGAATCAGTCAGATTCATCATCCACTTCGTTGTGGTAATAGCGACTTGCTTTTTCACTTCGTTTTTACCTTACACTGATGCCTTCTTCCTCTGAGCCAGGCGACTGTTGGCATTCAGTTACCATTTTTGACCGATCCCACCATTTTGGGCCTGGCTACCGTTTCTAATAAATTTCATTTCACATTGTATTGGTTACATTCGCGACCTGCTGGTGCCGACTCACCACCGTAGTATTTACTCTTCTCGATCTCCTCGGCGAAGAAGTGTTCAATCCTCTCGGCGAAGTGTTTCTTGATGCACCAGATGATGCCGATGACGACCATGACGACCGTGACGGTGATGAGGCCCAGCCAGAACGGCTCCTCGATCATCCGCTCGCTGAGTGGCTTGTACGGAATGTGCAGCACCCGGGTCTGGCAGTGGCGTCCTGTGCACCACAGGCCGCCATGAATGTTCATGTGCCACCCCACGGGCTCACAGTGCAACCTCAACTTCCGTGCGTAACGCTAGACGCAACGAACGGACGTCATAATATGACGTCATCACACGCCGACGTATCACACAATCCTTCGCCACTGTACAACGCCAGCGTAACGCAAACACCGCGTTCGTGGTCGTTGACGTCACACCACTAACGCGATTGAGTAAACGAGGCGGATCTTTACCGGAGTGGCATCACTTTACCCCGCATGAATATCACATAAAGCGGGCGATGACGTCATCCCAGTTCACAGCTGAGAAGGCAGGCTCCGGCGGCACGAGCCCCGGCTTTGCAACAGCTCTCCGCTATCCGTCCCGCGTACGGCACATCGACCAACGAGCTGACAGTCGCATCCCACGGAGCGCGGCCCGGAGGGCGGCCACGCCCGCCGGCAGATCACGTCACGTGACCGGTCGACCGGCGGACCGGCCCATCACGTGCGCCACTGACCCGACCACCAGCCGTGGCAGTGGCAGACGAAGGTGCTGTTGGCCTCGGCGCACAGGCCGCGGCCGTGGCACGGATTGTCGGCGCAGGGCGAGCGGCGCCGCTCGCAGCGCTCGCCCTCGTGCAGCGGGTCACAGTGGCACCGCACGCCGGCCGGCGTCGCCTCACACGTGCCAAACAGGCACAGCGACATCTCGCACGCTGGGATGTGGCAGAACAAGCCTGCCGGCGACACGGGGGCTGTGTCGCACGCTGCGGGCATGCACTGGAATGGTTAGGCCCAAAATGGTGGGGCCACATGCATACTTACGGCCCGTTGTCATTTAACCTTCATTCACCACAGGTTCTGTTCCATGAATTACTTGCATTGGGCTGTTTGCCTGCGCACACTGGGCAGTTAACAAGACGCAATTCCTTGACCTTTCAACAACTTACGAATGCATTGGCAGCTGAAACTGTACCAAACGATCGTCCGAAAATGGAACCAAACATAATAGACTGAAACAAAACTTAGCCATCAGGGATGCAGCCGACGAAAGAACCAGAGAGGCTCTCCTTCGACACGGATTTTTTCGTGTTTCACCACAGATCGCTTCCAACTGAAAGTTATAAATCAGCATGATGCGTGCTCACCGAGATCCGGTCCCGTCTCTCAGGAAAATCCTGGCAGCGCCCCTGTTAACTATCACCAACTTTTCCGTCTGGATCGACTGCAGTGTTACTTCCCGGCCGCCGTCGGCTCGGCGGCACGCTGCGAACCCTCACGCCCGGCTGGTGAGCGCCGGACCTAAAGTTGGCGAGCCCAGCGGCGCGGCGGCACTCACCCGCAAACTGGGCGGAACACGCGCAGACGGAGCGGCCGTCGCCCGGCACACACTTGCCGTCGTTCACGCACGGGCTGGCCCAGCACGGCTCGACGGCACCGCCGGACGCGCCGCTCTTGTTGTTGAAAGCCGCGTCTGCAACGTGGGACGAAGCTAAGTCCCGCTGTGGGAGGAGAGCGGGCCGGGAGGGGCGCTGAGCTGGCCCGCCTGATTGCTTTCAGCGGGCGGGTAGTAAGCCTGCTCGGTAAGCCTTCTTGGCCAATGGCTGCTGGTACTGCGGGGGCGTCGCCGGCTTCCGTGACTGCGGGGCCCGGTTACGCTGTCACGACACGCGCCGCTAGACGGCCTGACGGAAAATCTCTCGGCGGGCGAAAGGCTTCAGAACACTCTCCTAACAGGCAGTCGAAACATGAAAATTGAACTGCTATTGTTTTCTGTTAATTTCTGATGATTGCCTGTACAACACAGCTACAAACAATCAGAAACTCGATTTTAGATTACAGCAGTGTTGAAAGATATATCATTTGTTCAGATCAACTAATTCAGGTTGCATGAAGAGATCGGTTTATTCGTGTCGTGGAATTATATTGGGTTTGCATGCGCTGAATGCATGTATACAGACGACTTAAACGTGTGGAAACCAAATAAAGTGTAGCCGTACACGGCATGCGCTCGTAGAGACGACAGCCGATGCTTACGTGATGGACAAACACGCCAGCTGAACGATCTGGGCTTGCTCAGGTTATAGTAATCAACTGCTGACCTGTCGCTGACATAATCTGAGTACCGGAGGCTAGACAATTCAAAATATACATACGTATGGCAAAATGTAGACTAAGCGGGGTGATTTTCTTTTTAAATTAGTGGTCTTATCTCGCTCATTTGGGTCATATTTGCTGTCGCAAACCAGACAAACGGAAACCCCAGGTGATCGCTAGTTCATATTTCTTCATAACTGAAATTAATAAATCGCAGATGAGCAGATCATAATTAATCAGTCGACCGCAGATAAACCGCGACATGGGGCGACAACACATGACAGCGGGCGTCCGTGACAACACCATTCCGCTCATCATAAATTCCAGCTTGATCTACGGTGAGACCGTAAGTTGCTAAATAGCACGACGAAACCCCATGCACACTCCGTGCCACTACCGCTGCAAACAATGGATTGTGCCTGTGAACGCCTCACATAAACTGACTCCGCCGCGTGCTCGTAACGACTGAGCAGCAGCCACTGCGCACTTAGTCCCGGTCAGGTATTCCGCCTCATACGAGGGCGTTCTTCGTATGGGCTCCCGTCTCCCAGCGTTTCCCAGCGCCCATCGCCACACCCACCACTCCCCAGTGGTCCGTGCTGGTACGCCCCCGTGGCTCTGCGTGGGAGGCAGCGGCGCAGGCGAGGCAGCAGTGACCTCTGCGTAGGAGGCAGCGGCGCAGGCGAGGCGGCAGTGACCTCTGCGTGGGAGGCGGTGGCACAGGCGAGGCGGCAGTGGCCGGACGGCGCGTGACCCCAGCCCAGCCGGCCACGGATACGGCAGCCGTTCCAATCACGAGTCTCGGTCGCGTGCCAGTACTAACTGGATCACGGAGGTGCACCGCCGGCCGCGCCAGCCAACAGCCGGCGCACGTGCGCGACAGGGCGGGGCGCTGTGGCACGGGGCACAGTGGCCACTGCAGGAAGGCCCGTACATCCGGGCATCCAATGTCACAAGTAGCAGACGAGAATATAATACAAACCGTCGAATCTTCGTCTTTTTATCAGCAATCATCTTGGAATCAATCGAACTTTCCACAACGGGTTCGTTCTACGAAATTGAGATTTTCTCCTCTTTCTTCTCTGAACATTTTCGTTTGTACCTTAACTTTCATCCTGTCTCCATTATCTCACTTTCCGCTTTCCGTGCGCGTGCGTGCGTGCGTGCGTGCGTGCGTGCGTGCGTGGCGTGCGTGCGTGCGTGTGTGGTGGCGTGTGTGTGTGTGGTGTGTGTGTGTGTGTGGTGTGTGGTGTGTGTGTGTGTGTGTGTGTGTGTGTGTGTGTGTGTGTGTGTGTGTTGTGTGTGTGTGTGTGTGTGTGTGTGTGTTGTTTGTGTGTGTGTGTGTGTGTGTGTGTTGTGTGTGTGTGTGTGTGTGTGGTGTGTGTGTGTGCTGATGTGTGTGTGTGTGTGTGTGTGTGTGTGGGTGTGTGTGTGTGTGTGTGTGTGTGTGTGGTGTGTGTGTGTGTGTGTGTGTGTGTGTGTGTGTGTGGTGTGTGTGTAAGCCAACCATGCATGTAACCTCGGCCGTGTCTCGCTGGCCATCTCTCCCCAGCCCCGGCCCGCGGCCACAGCTCTTGTTGCGGCTCTCGGCCGCAGCTGCAGGCCACAGCTCTTGGCCGCGGCTGCAGGCCGCGCCCGTCGTCAGCAGCCTCACCTGGAACGGCAGCGTAGCTGACGCTGACCGGCAGCTGGTCCGGCGCGGTCGAGGCGCGGCGGCGCCGACGTCGCCGCCGCCGCCGGTCGGCGCCCGGCCCGCGCACCTCCGTCACCGTCAGCACGTGCAGGTATGAGCGGATGGTGGCGGTGCGGCGTGTCGCGCCCGCGCACAGCCACCAATGGGAGCCGCCGCCCGGCGCGTAGTCATCCGAGATGTGAACGAAGCCCTGCAGCACAGAGGACACATTTGGCTGTATTAACATGCATATTGTAGGGGCTGAACGCAGCGTAAAACCTTCTTTAGTTGCGTACATAGAACGTTGCGGTATCTTGGGCTACATTTGGCACCTTTTTCGGCTGTTCGTCCTTCACACTTTTATATTCCTGCACGATTTAAGTGTTACTGCCAATAGGTTCCATATACTCGTCGCTTTGCGTTTGGTGAGGCTGAAATGATTTTCTTTAGAAGCACGTTTTAGCTGCATTCTAGAGCGTACAATATTCCGTTTTGGGAAGACCATTTGTTTTACTGATGGCTTTTGAGGCTTTCAGACAAGTGATAGACTGCGTGACAATATTCTTATGAGGGAGCAAAAATAAAACAAAACAAAACACAACAAAGACAAAACAAAATAAAGCAAAAACTAAAGCATTCATAAGCACTTGTAGGCCAAGATGGCTCGTGACTTGCCTGACAAACATTAGGGCGCAAATCCATGCAGATCCGTTGTGATTTTAAACCGTCAGCCTTCGTGAACGCCAACTCATCGCGAGTTACACAGCAGATGGCTGGCATGCAAATCGGCCCGGGTGTATAGTGATTTACTGGCGGTTGGCCCATTCCGTGTAAGTGAATCACAACGCATCGTGATATACCTAGAAATGCTTGAAAAGTGAATAGTGATGCATCACGTCATGTGCTGGACCGCAAAGAGGACGGAAGGAGGCACGAATCTTGCACGAGCTGTGGGGCTGGAGGCTCTGAGCCCTGCCAATCTCGTACCAGGTCATGCCGTGTATTGCACGAGCTGCGGGGCTGGAGGCTATGAGCCCTGCCAATCTCGCACCAGGTCATGCCGTGTACTGCACAAGCTGTGGGGATGGAGGCTCTGAGCGCTGTCAATCTCGCACCAGGTCATACTATGTATTGCACGAGCTGTGGGGCTGGAGGCTCTGAGCCCTGCCAATCTCGCACCAGGTCATGCCGTGTATTGCACGAGCTGTGGGGATGGAGGCTATGAGCCCTGCCAATCTCGTACCAGGTCATACCGTGTACTGCACGAGCTGTGGGGTCGGAGGCCTTGAGCCCTGCCAATCTCGCACCAGGTCATGCCGTGTATTGCACGAGCTGTGGGGTTGGAGGCTCTGAGCCCTGCCAATCTCGCACCAGGTCATACCGTGTATTGCACGAGCTGTGGGGTTGGAGGCTCTGAGCCCTGCCAATCTCGCACGAGGTCATACCGTGTATTGCACGAGCTGTGGGGCTGGAGGCTCTGAGCCCTGCCAATCTCGCACCAGGTCATACCGTGCATTGCACGAGCTGTGGGGTTGGAGGCTCTGAGCCCTGCCACGCATGTCTGGCTCTGTTATGTGCCAGAAAAACAGCGTGTAAGAACATTCCAAAAGCCCAAGTCGACTCCACTGTACGTTCTTTACAATCGACAGGGAAAGGAGTTCTGTAGTTAGGTTTGCTCTGAATACAGAGGGGTGCAATAGAACACATGCCCGTGGTTTAGACCGGGGACAAATAAACGAAAATTATTCAGAAAGTCTGGTAAGATCACGTCAGCGACTGTGTCATAGTGGCATGCACTGAGAACTGCTCCCAAGTGTGCTATTATTTTTAAATACTGTAGTTTATGCATGCTTCATGTTATACTCCATGCGCCCGTCATGCCCATCGCCCGCGCCTCGACTGGCTAAGATGTGGCCCACAGTGGGCGGGCGGGCGCCTCCTCTCCGCTCGCGCCGTGCCGATGCTGCTGCCCTCCCTATCGACCGGGCGGCAGGCGGGGCTCATGCAGGTGGTCTCCTGCCGGCCCCTGCGCTCCCATGGGACGGCGCCTTTCATGTGGCGTGCATAACAAGACGGGTGAACGTCATCACTCGCGCAGCCGGGGAGTCCAGTGCCATAATATGGTATATCGCTCGGTGGAAAACCGTGGCAAAGTACGTGTTTGTCTCGCTTGGTAGAGGGGCTCAATCCATGCAAAGGGCGCAGTAGGTACCAAAATACGTAAAAGGCCTCGCTGTGTTAGAAAAATGCGGACGAAATTTGCATTCTTAAATAAATCGCACTGGTTGTCTAGTTTCACTAAAACTTGGTGGGTAGCTTGTGCGCTTGGCATCAATGCGACAATCTTGTACCGTTTGGATATGTACGTAACCATGGCCCATGCCTGAAACATCGCACTTTTCAAGGGCCTAGACTACAGACTAAACTAATTGGCATACGAAGGATTCATTTTAACATGCGAAACGGAACACTGATATCATCAGTGTGACAACGTAATTACGTTAATGATGTTATCACCGCTGATAACATCAGTGCTGGAAATAAGATCAGAACGAAACAGACCCGAGGCTGCTTGTCTTGAAAATTAAGAGATGAGCGCTTGGTGTCTTAGCACATGCATATCCAAGCAAAAATCTAGCTATTTTAGTGCAAATACCCATATCGATGTGAAACAGTTGCTCGAAGCGGACCGGACGTCTCCAGTTTCCAGGAATAAGCTCAACCGTACCAACGGTGTGGCTGCTGGCCATCCCAGCGGCCCTAGGCGCTGGACATTGTGTGTGTGTGTGTGTGTGTGTGTGTGTGTGTGTGTGTGTGTGTGTGTGTGTGTGTGTGTGTGGTGTGTGTGTGTGTGTGTGTGTGTGTGTGTGTGTGTGTGTGTGTGTGTGTGTGTGTGTGTGTGTGTGTGTGTGTGTGTGTGTGTGTGTGTGTGTGTGTGTGTGTGTGTGTGTGTGTGTGTGTGTGTGTGTGTGTGTGTGTGTGTGTGTGTGTGTGTGTGTGTGCGCGCATATGAAAGTGCCCATAAGTTTGTTACTGACGCATCAAAGTTGGATATGACGAGTACGCGTCACCACTAAACTTGATATGCAACCCAATGCTTTGAATCCGCCGATTTTAGGATCATTGCAAGGTATAAGCGCCCAAATATTGTTCTCATTCGTGCCAAAATGTTTAATCGATAGCATAGGCCCAAATGGGATCCGTTTGCACTGTTCGCGACTATCCACAGGTTCAGGTCGCTGGTCTGACGTGACTTGGGTGTGTGACCTCATGTCTTTGGTGTGACCTTAGACCTGAGCTTTTGACGACATATGACGACAAGTTGTGAATTACATCGTGTACTTTACAAGCCCGGTTACCACTTGCAAATAAATCAAAAGGAAAGTGGTACTAACATTTGATTGCACAACTGGGTAGCAAAAGAACCTGGGACAAAAAGTCACTTGCGTTCAAACAGGCAGTTATTGACGGAACTTGTAACTGCTGGGTGTTTTGTCCTCACCCAATACTGGCTTGGCGCATCCCATATAGAGCACCAATTATCAAAAATCTTAAAGCAATATTGCTAAAGAGTAATGAAAACTCAAGCCCTTTAATTATGTCAAGCTGGAATAATGAAGAACACTAAGACACGAGCGAAATGTATAAGCTGGAATATTTTGCCTAGTGAGCTGCTGAATCAAGCATCTACCAATACCAAAACCGTTAAGCCTTGATAAAATCTTGCAAAAGCACATCTCAGACCGGGCTACTTCAACATTGAATTTCACCGGCGAAGGTCACCTCCCAGCAGTTTATCGCGGCGCGGACGTGCTATCGATTCCGGGAACAAAGGGCGCACGGGTCGCGGTACCACCTGCTCGGGCGGACTGGCCGCCACTGCGGGAGTGCGTACGTCGCGTGCGCTGCCGCCAATCGGCAGCCATTATCCGGTGCCACCGGTCGACACGTGATGACCGGCAGAAATAATGCATGGGCGCGATTCCCCCGCTGCTGCGAATCGGCGACCGCCCCCAGCATGACAGCTCCGGAATAATGACGGGAGCACCGGCGGCACTATGTCCTGACGCGCGGCACGCATCCTGCTACGGCCCGGCCGCTCTACGGCGAGGGCGGCGTGCTACAGTGCCGAGGCCGCGAGAGCATCAGGGAGAGGCCCGGCACGTGACGAAGCATATCTCAAAAACATACTCTAGTGAGACTTCAGGACTAGTTGTATCTTAAGGTAGGACTAGGTAGTGTCGCCGCAGCACCGTCAAGACATGATACAGATATCTACTTTAATTATTTTGGGGCCCAAATTACACTGCCAACGCTTTGTAACAGTAACACGCTTCTACCCTGCAGACGCCACCACCGTCGTCATGACAACCATCGGGTGCACCTCTACTCGTGCGAGAAAAAAAACGAACGTTTGTGGCTGGCCCAGCGGACAAGGGCCTATTACCGGGAGGAGCATTGGTTGAAGTTTGGACCAGTTACATTACATGGATCATGTGATACTCCCATTCTCAAAGCCAGAAAGCACTTCGAAAAAAGCCAATGTGGTAAACGCCATATCGGGGAACGCCGCATAAGGGAAAATCAAAGCCATGGTATAACGCTTCGTTGAATTCGCGGGAAAATAGCTTCACGTTTGCTAGTATTTTTGTCTAAGCAGGATGTTTCAGGCTTTCGTAGCATATATCACACGAACATTTTGACGCATTTTGATACAGCACACACATAATGTGCTGCAAGCATAACAGGGCACACGCGTTTCAAAAAGCAAGGGAAACCTAATCTATTGCTATCTTAGTGGTGAACAGGGAGCCAAATGAGATTTCTCCAGCGGGGTCGGCTACTTCAAAAATCAAAATTGTGATCTTTTCAGAACGATATCGAGAAAACTGGTATTACTGATAAAATTGTGCGTGTCTGATAACTAGCGCAAAGCCTAAAAACAGGCGAGATACTCCCTTTAAGGTGACAGAGCTTGTAATGCTTAACCGCTTTCCTACCCAGCGTCCCGCCCATTTTGCTTCTTGAGCATTAGCATAAGATATGAGTCAAAATGGCAACACATTGTTTTCCGTTTGAAAAGCCATACTTAAAGGAGTCGGCTTCTATCTGAGTAGCAATCTGACCTTAAGTACAGCTTAGGATACCTCCTAGAACTTGAACACCGCCAGCCCCAGCATAATTCTCGCGTCTTTGCCGGTGCTCCCCCCCCCCCCCCCCCTATCTCTGCCCAGAGGCACAGGTGGGCTCGGGTCAAACGCGGCACCAGCGCCGGAGCTAATCAAGGTAATGCCGACTTCGCCTCCGACCAAACAAGCGGCCATTGTCGCGGGGATATTTGTCGCCGGTCTCGCAGTGGCTGTGACAATAGCTAACGTCGATGGCCGGACCCCTACCTGGGACATAGCGGGCAGTTGGGGAGGAGGGGGGGGGGGGGGCGCTGAGGTTGACCGGAGCCGGCCCCAGACAGGAGGAAAGGTTAACAAGGACGATCCTTCCTGCTCGGAATTTCTGAGGTAGCTTTGTGTGGCCATAAGAATACAAAAGGAGTTCTGACCAGCAGACAAAGCGCAGGGATAGGTCCGTACAGCTGCCAACAGTGCAAAACTTGCTCTAGATGGCTGGTGACGTGGATGAGTCACTCTGTACAAACGCAAAGGTGCTGGAGTTCGGATGCGGCCGCTTTATTTAAAAAAGAGCTATTGACGGAGGCCGGGACGGTCGTGTTAAGCTCCAGAACAGCTTTGGCCGGCTGGGTTCGCGTAGATCATTTGTTGGATGGCTGGCGAACCACGGAAAAGGTCGGCAGCAGCTCACAGCTGCCTTGCTCATGATACGCACTCGGGCCGAATTTATGGCGCGCCGTCGGCTAGTTCTCCGTCTGCAGTTTACGAGCTGGCGGTAAGAGGAGAAGGCGGGCGCAGGAGAGCAGATTCGCGGCAAGAGCGGCGCTCATCTGGTGCGTGGAGGCGGCGGCCGCGCAGGCACCGCGTTCGAATTGGAGCCGAAATAAGCTGCGAAATACTCGGCGACAGGCGCGTAAATGGCGCTATTCGGCCGCACAGCGAACCCATCCCCAAGGACGACGCAAAATGAACAGAGGAAGCGGACACGATGGCGGACTGATCCCGAACCAGAAAACAGATCTATCTCTCGATACGACAGGAGACTGCCCTGCCATTCGCCGTTCCCAAGATCAGCAGCATCACGTGGAATGCAGTTTGGTTTAAATTTCATAAGCTTACAACCAGTGCCAGCAATCAGATTAATAAATATACACACATATAGATAGTCGAATACAGAATGCATACATTCAGAATAGAACCGTTAAAAATGCATTACTGGACTCGCCATATAGTGTATTTAAGTAAAACCATGCTGTGCATTTTTGGGGCCGCAATAAAAGCCTATACGGATGACAATAATTTGCCAACATGATTCCCCCGGCTTCGAGTACATGCAAAGTTTAAATTTTCTGACTTTCAAATTTGTTGACAGCCGGGCTAGCTCGGCTACTGGCAGTACCAGCAGCTGGCTACCTATAGCCACTGGTGACAGGTAAGAACGAGATAAACATGGAGAAACTAGAAACAAGCAAACATCAAGCCGAACATTCAGCAGCCGGCTATCAGACATATGCAATGGCCTGTTCACACACGCATGCACGAACGCACGCACACGCACGTGCATCAGTCACCGCATTCACACCGCCCGGCCCGCACACACACACGCGCGCACGTGGCTTACCCCCGGTCCGCCGCAGGGCGCGTCCACCAGCGAGCCGACGAAGACGAGTCGCAGCGCCACGTTGTGACCGGGCGCGGCCGCCAGCCTGTGCGACACGCGGTATTTGAGCGGCCCCAGCAGCAGCACCTCCGGCAGCCGGCGCGACTCGGCTGACGTCACGGACACCGGCAGCCGCTCGTCGACGGTCGCCGCTGGAACGAAAGGCGCGCTGTGACGGCGCGGGCAGAGGCGGCGACGCGGCGACAGCGGCGCTCGCGGCGACTGGCGGCGACCGGTGGTTCGGAAGGCGGTCACCGCTACGGGTGACTCGTTCCACTGCGTGTGCGCGCGATGTGGAATGCTGCTGTCAGCAGCTGACGCGTCGTCGACACGGCCGGCAGCGGACCACCACCGTCCTTCAGAACGCTCAGACGACGGCTGCTCGGTAACCGGGGGTCCGCCGCCCGCCGTCCCACCGAGCTCCATCGCGCTCGGCCGGCTCGGCCGCGTGCGGTGGCCGGGGCGAGTCTGGCTCCCGGCTCAGGCAGCTCTCCCACCACCGCGCGGAGCCGGGGCGGCCACGCACCACTCACCGGCTCTGAACGTGAGCTGATAGCCGCGGGCAGTGTTCAGGTCATCCTCCGTGTGCAGGTGAAGGCGGACGTAGGGGCCGGGCGCCAGCACCACTGACCCCTGGTGGCCACACAGACGGCGAGAGAGCGGCGGCGGCGACCTCAGGTCGGCCACGCTGCTCACCTCCAGCCAGCCGAGCTTGCACGGCAGGTCGAGGTCGGACACGTGCAGCGTCAAACGCGAGGCACCTGAAAAGTAGGCATGCGTAACGGGTAGCCTGCAATGGACGGCAGTCACAGACGAGCGCCCTGAGGCTGTTTTATGAGCAAAGGAAGCCCCTATACCTGCACATCTTTTTATGACGAGCTTAAGACGCCGGGGGTCATATTAGCGTCCAGAGGTCATGCACCGCTGGTCTCCGCGCCCGGACCCCGCGTGGGAGCCGAAAGCCGTAACCACCCGGCCATTACGCCCGCTCTCATTCCCACGCGAATCGTAATGCCATCACGCCCATTAAAGCCATGACTTACAACGATAAAAGCCAAATTACGTCTGAGAGCTCTATTCCGTCTGCCAAAGGTTGCCCCAGAACGCCCACGCCAAACAGATTTTGACGCATTTGTAAGCCAGCCCGTCACATGGTGCAATATGTGCGGACCGAAATAGCATATACACTGGCTGACAAGCCTTCCAACTGATATTGACGAAGCCAAACACTGAAACTTGCCATGCAAAGTCCGACGATGAGACTTCAAGTTTTAAGATAGCTCGTTCACAGGTTTGTGCCATGTAGTAAATGTTTTTGGCACGCAGTTACGAGCATAGAACAAACATGCAAACACACGGGCTGCGACGAAACTTTGCGAAGTCCATGTTTCATGGGGTCCAGTTCCAACAGTTTCAGCGATCGTAAACTCATGGATATGCGGTTTCAAACTGCACAGTCAGCTTGAAATTGCGCCCTGCGACGCCCCACACTCATAACTTGCGATATCTGTCGTAACACAGCAAATCAGAGCAGTGAAAAGTTTACGGGGCTGGAAAAGTTTGACACTTGTGCGGTGATGATGTTTGAGCCGCTAACAAATGCGATTCATCCCCTATGCCAAACCTGCATGGCCTAAATCAATATAAACGTGTCGTTGTGCTTAGGGTTGTCTTTTATCGCCCGGATTCAATACTGATTCTATTTGATCACCTTTGCAACTAGGCTAGATAGGCGTTAGATGGTATCGAAGCTCGCTGCGTATAGCTGTACCAATGGACACAATTAATCATTCAAAGGGCCGATGCATGTGTCCATACGGCACTTAGGTAGCATCCCCAGGGCTCTCATCTGGTCCTCGCCCGATCCTGCCCCTCTGACCGCAGCGCTGTACCCAGCCCGTTCCCAAGCCAGGCTGGGACTGCTGCCGAATCTGACCGCCCTAGCCGTGCAGGGCTCCTCAGGCGGCTAGATCTGACGCCGCCGCTGCACTGCTAACAGAAAAGCGAACAGTGGCACACCTTACACAATGTTGCGGCGGGTAATAACAGACACTGCCATACGAATAAGTCCATAACGCAAACGTTAGCTGAATGAGCTGAGGCAAATGAATTTCTAGGTCTTGGTGAAAAGTTAATAATTTCATCATGCTGTTCACCTAGACAATGCTTCCATCTAATATGGACCAAAAGTCCACAACAAGTTATGCCACTTTGATCCCATGGAATCTCTGCTTTACAGCATCCTCAAGGTGCACCATTTTCTGTCCCTGCTCCATGGTATCTTTCGTCTCAGTCATTCCGTGCCGAAATAATGCCGACCGGTGAGCACCTTGGAGCAGATTCAGCGAGGCGAAGGCCCCGCCCGGCTGCTGACACAGGGCTTTGTGGCAGGGCAGGACGGGAAGCGCCACCGACAAGATTGCTGATACTGGTCAAAACGATGTGTTTCTCAACGTCTGTCCACTTCCAGACCCACAAAGCAGGCAGCACGTAGGAATAAAGGGATCATGGGGGTGGTCATGAATTGAGTATCCATTTCATTCCATTAGTCATTTGTTTATCATATATATCTTCATGCGCTGTATGCTATCTAAATGAATTTGCATGCGTGGGTGTATGGGGAAAGGGTTAGAAACGTATTCACATGTGCATTTTATGGACAATCAGCATTTCCGCAGCAACAACTGTGCAAAACTATGGTATCATCATAAGGTGTCACAATTTGATAACATGCCCGGGAACAAACGTTCTACGGCATTGTATGGAACAGTGATCCCTCCGCATTCCTGCCTCATGAAAAGGTTGAGCCCAAACTTTGCATTGCATTGTGCGGTACAACGTGGGTGGTGAATTCAGGGTATGCCCAAGAAGTGCTTGATGCATTCCGAACCCAAAACCACGCATGGAAACCACTTGGGACGTATGCGACACATGATATGTGGATAACCTCTCACAGAGTTCTGGTACTTCGCAATGCACAGACACGTAACCTGAGTCGTGCTGTCAAAGAAGCCGTTTTTGTTACAGCAATGAAGTTCGCCTGCTATGGTGTATTACTGTCCATCCAACAACCGGGTTGCAGTATCTAATTTCCACCCTAATGGCTAAATGTCGCACTTCTTGCATCTTACAATTCGATGCAAGTTTAGAATATGATCAAAACCTTAAACAAATTTGTTAAATCAGGCTTAAAAAGGATGTTCCACACTTAAAGGTATTAAGCAGGCATCAGATATGATGAAATAAGCTCACCTATACTTTTGATACACTTCTGAGTGAAAAAGACTGTTCTAAACAACAAATATCTATTTTTAGTATTTAAGTTCCTCAATGCGTCATTGTTTGCTCACGTCATCGTACCTTGCACAATATTGCTTAGGAACCAGTCGACGAACGTCATGTCTGGAAATCGTACTAACAAACGCCATGTGCGAACGACTTGACATTTACATTTGTGTCGTCTTGATCGCCGTAAAGCTAATGGAATGACGAGTTTTCAATGACGTTATTATGGCGTCATGTACGCCTCGGTGACCTTGGAATCATTTCCCTGAAATAGTCTGGACATCTTCGCGGATGCGTAGCTCAGAAACTAGAGGGGTTTAGTTTTTAGAACCATTCACTACCATTGTAAAGCCACTATCAATTTTTTCGTCTTTTCGCCGCGGCCCCGCACAAACATAATTTGTTCAACACCACTGATGCGCAGAGCAACACTGCAATGACATTTCAGATAGCCTATGGAAGAAGTGGATGAAATGTCTGCAAGTTCAGTGGCCACTGACGGCTCAGCATCTGAATTTTGATTTTTTGTTCCGAGGATTGATCACAGGTGTACGCACATAGTACCATTCTGGTTCACGTGCCTCGCCCCATTACCAAATTTCTGTCATGCATGAAAAAGCACGAGATTAAATATTAAGAGGCAAAAAACCAGGCAGACGCGTAAAATAGGAGCATCGAGAACATGCGACGTTGTTTTACGACAGAAGGCTGTGTAGGCCTGCAGCGCGCTCACTGAGCTTTCAGTGACAACTTTTGAGCCGTGCCCTTATCCCTAATGTAAAGTTCTGCTATAAAAAACACTGGAATTATGGGATTGTAGATTTATTTTGCATGCCTGAAGCGCTTAAGCAGTGCGTGCTTGCTGATTGTTGAATGAACAGGCGGTGGCTGCTGGATAATCAACGTTTAGGCGGAATATGGCGGTAAGGACCAATACACGCCTATACTTTAGGAAAGCGTTTCACAATCTTTACAAACTGCCGTTTTGATGGTGGAAAGTTGTGGTAAAATATTTTGTAACTCATCTGGAAGCAGATATGAATTTATCACCTCCAGTTATATCCAACTTTCACGTCTACGTGCAATGTCTGTTAGAATACGGTGTATGCGGTTATTTATGCTCTCTGCGAGTTAATTCGTAGAAAAGTAGCAAAATCTCAAAATGTGGTTATGGGATTTGATTTTCTGAGATCGTACATTAAACTTCCTCAGCACTATAAATGTCTCAAACAAGTGTTTCACTGTAACCGCGCGCAAAACATTTTCTCTGGGCCTCATTAATGCTTGGGGTCTGAGCGCCTTTGTTCTATGCTAATTTTGTAAGGCAATCAGCCCAGCAAAAGATCACAGACAAAAGTGACAACAGAAAAAGGTTTTTATTCCAGCCACATATTTCATATGTAACCATGGGAGAACATCAGAGCGTAAGCGATCGATATACATCTGAATAACATACCGTTGTATGCTTGGCGCTGTCCAGCGGCGTTTGCGTATAATAATGCGTCTAATTTAACTATCGAATTTTAGCATTTAGACGACTTTTTCTCCCCAGGCACAGCCAGAAGTTAGCGCAATGTATCTCGTTCGCGAAGCCATTTTGAAGATGGCCGGTATTTTCCGCGAGACCGGCAGCGTTTCTGCACATCCGTGATGCACCACAAGTGCAATAGCCGAAAGTGAGATAACGTCGCAGCGTTATCAGAGACGCTAGGAAAGAGACAGCGCAAGCAGATAACATGGACATTTGCTGTGCAAACGCCACGTTAACGGGAGAGAAAATATCTTAAAGGCGTCGATTTCACAATGCGACGTCAAATAAAGCATCGCAGCAGTCATCCTTGTAGCTTTAAGCGCGTGTAGTTTATCAACCTCTAACCCCGCGCTATTTGGCGTCCTTCTTCCTACGGGTATGTTGCTAGCGTTAAGTCATTGGAGAGCATAAAGAGTCGAACAAGCTCAGACTCAGTCACCGGATCTCGACTTAACTTGGACTGGGCACAGAATTGACTGCGCCCTTTTCAATCCTTGGAACTTCGTTGCCTTCCTCATACCGCCAAATATTGCATAATCGGTGCTAGAAAAGTAGCAGAGAACTCAGAATATCGCATGCATTATTTATCCTGCCGATGTCCCACGCGTAGATTCTAGCTTGGTAGGACAGAAAATGACTTTGTTGGCTCCGAATTTTTCTCACGGTCTGTGTAATGTTGCACAATCGCAACTGCCAACAAAAAAAACTCCGTCAAACACTGTAGGAGACCGTATCGTGAATTCGCCTGGGCTCATCCAAAAACCGACCGGCACCTGCGAGCGTCGGGTCCCTTCCGCCGCCTCAGCGGTGGCCCTTGACCCCCGGCGAATCGGGAGACCCGCGGTCACGTGACGCCCCCCGGTGCCCAGTCAGATGTAGAGCTCGGAAGACGCGAGGGCGAGGTCCGAGGGAAGACCCCGCACGATCACAACACAAACACACTAGGTGACTTATTCACGTGAATACATTTCGATATTTGTCAATTAATTTGTGTAGTTCACGACGCGTCTGAGCGGTGTCGGCGGCGTCCCCACCTGCCCGGATAATCGCGTCAGGAATTTGACACCGGGCGCGGACGAGGGTACTGAGTTCACGCGCCCCAAAGAAGGTGAATTGGGTCCACGCTTCGGGCCTACTGGGCGGGTAACCGAGTACCTTGAACAGGGAAAACCTCGTCCTCCATAGCACGTGTGTCCATGGTAGACTCCAGCAGCGAGTAGAGAACGAAAGCTATACTTTCCAAGGATGAGGAGATCGGTGATAGGCCTCACTAGCACCTTATTTCTCATGTCCTTATCTCTCAAGCTCACCGAAAGGACAGTGGCATTTGTTCAGTGTAGGAACACACAGCACTTCCTCATCGCCAGTGAACAGTGGCGACCCCTGGCCCAGCTTCAGGATCACTTTGGTGAGCCAGTGATCTTGCCTTGAGCCACGCGTCTGTTGCTGCTCATTTCATTTCAGCACGATCTCAACGAGCGCCCAGCCGGGGGTCTGAGACAACCGCGTCCGGGCGGGTGGGGGGGGGGGGGGGAAGCTGGCTGTCCCCTGGAATCTCCATGTTCCAGACGCCGTATAAGAAAAATAAAGGACGCTATTGCTAAGGTTTCGTCAAATCATGAAGAATGCACACCACATTTTTTACCTTAGTTCAAATGTAGCGACACTAGAGGTCACGAAATGTCAAAAAGGGTTATTTCGACAGATGCAGTTAAAACCTATGGTAACACCTCAAGACGAATATTCAGACCACGGAAATAAGCACTAAGACTGTGAGAAGTCCATTCTGACTATTTCTGTTCCCCCACAAGGATCAGGTACGAGCTCAACGTTTAAAGTTTGTCGACCAATAGCCTCCAAGAACAATAATTTTTCACAATGCGATGCTGACTCACTTGACTGTATTGGGTACAGTTGTGTGAAAAAAGTTTCAGGCTCGTAAATACCGTTTTAGGTTGACCTAGAGGTCGTCTTTTTAAACTATTCAAATTATCAAATTTGAAGTGCTAACCGGACTAAAGTAACCAGTGCAATGCTTTTCTGAGGTCAATTATAATAGATTGTACATCAACAGGTACCCTAGATCGCATAGCTCTCGTCTTCATTATGCATAGTGTCTTCGACGCTTGGCAATGCATTCGCAACAAACTGAGAACAGGCACGTCGGTATATGAAATTATGCATCATCAGCTTCACAAACACGTTAAGAAGGTACTTACACGCGTCGCACTCGTTCATTCAGCCTCTCCACTACTAACAACATAGGTCACTGACCTTGGATAACCTCATATCACCTTGCGTGTCCTCACATGACCTGGTGTGACCTCGCTATGCATCACAATGATACCACGACATGTTTTCGGCGTAGTGTTTGAATTCTGCGTCCAAAATTTCATCCTAATGCTGCCGATTTTAAGCTCAGCATGCGTATTGCAAAAAGTACCTATATGGGTCACGACCTAGGCCAAGGCCATCTGCTCTGCGATAATATGGTGGTTGTGCGTGTGAGTCAGTGCTCTGTACCTCATATAAAAGCACAAAAGCTACCCCCAAATCTGAACAAATTTGCATTATTTACAAAAAGCGACAAAAAATGACCTGACGTCAGGTCAGTTACCCACCATTTTCCGAAAAATCTTCCAACAGGGGTGTAGGCACTATCATGTTTTATTGCTATAGCAAGGTCGAATATGGAAAATAACTCACGAAAGAGGAATGTGTGGTCCAAAATTTTAAGAGACTGACCTCTTTGACCCGACCTAAGTCACCGATCTTGGTAGATCAAAACTTCCAATGAACAAAAAGGATGTCAAATTAATAAATCAACAGGTACTGCAAGTCTTGCGCTGCTGCGGGGCTTGACCTGTGTTCGAAGAACCATACGGGAGGAAGTTAACTTTCTTCCGCCGGACGCGGGTTAAATTTGTTTATAACTTGATGGTCCGTTCTACCGAAGTGGCGAACTCGTAGATGTGAAAGAGGAATTTCGGGTGCACCTGTTCCCAATTGAAATGCTGCAAAATGCGGGCTGTAGTGATATCAAGTGGGTACGAACATTTACAGCCAGCATTTCAAAACGCCCACTGGGGTGGTCTGGGCCACGCAGCTTTTCAGCAGGTCCAAGTGCACCAAAGCGACCAATTCATCCTCGTCAACCTCTGAGCTGATGGCCCTTCAGGAATGCTAAGTTTTACCGGAGATTTTCTCAGAACAACTTGGAAAAGCTTGAATAGCAGAATAACAGAACAACAGAACAACTTGGAAAAGCTTGAATAGCAGAATAACAGAACAACAGAACAACTTGGAAGTTTCGTCGTGCCTAAGCATCCCTGATACCCGACAGTCTAGTGTCGTTCGTTATACTTTGCATGACATCGGATGCTCTAAAACAAAAACAGGACACGCCTATCTTTTACCTGCTGAATAACAGTTGATCATTTTCTCTCGCATGCCAACACCACCGTGCGACATTGTGATGTTGCGCTTACTCCCGTTGTGTAATAAACAGCGGCCTGACCCGACATACACGGCGGCGCGCATCGCAGCCGCTGGTGGCCAGGTGACGCCCGCTTGCCGCCGGCCGGTGCCGGCCAGCCGTCGCAGCTGGCGCGTCATGCGAGGCGAGCCGGGGCGGACGCCGCCGCCCGTGTCACGGTCCCGCGCGCCTGCCGATCGACCGTCGGCTTCGGCCGTGTAATCCGCCAGATCCCGGCGGTGCGCGGCTGCCGCTGCCCGGGAACGCCGCCGAAGCGGCGCCGCTCGGCCTCGGCTGGGGCGCAGCCGACACCTCACCGCTCGCCCGTCTCGCTGCGACGCTCGTCGCGGGCCGCGCGCCGCGATGGCACCGAGTGGTGCGGACGCCGCGGCATTAACGGCCGTCGATGCGGCGCGTGCGTCGCGCGGGCGCGCCCGGGGCTGTGACGTCATACGGTATGCACTGCACGTCACTGTTGGCAGGCATGGGGTCGCTTGTTGTGCATTGTTCAGGACCTGAGCAATTTCTGATCGATGGCACGATAATTATCTGCCAACGGCGGTGCTTTGTTCCGGACTTGGTAAACATACGAGGTACTCCGTCTTGACGTGTTCTATGGAAATGCGAGATCAAATATACGTAATAACTGCGATCGAAAAACATCCGGACGGTAAAGCAATCGATCTTTTCACGCACCTTAAAAGTGGTGGTTCATTATACATCGACCGCTGAATGGAAATCTGGTCGATGCTGCAGTTTCCAGATTATGTTATGCCCACACAACGCATAGCCGAGGCCTCACCTGGCGAGTCTGGGAAACCAGAGGGACGACGTTCGATTCCCCGCGGTGCCCGCCCTTCCCGCCAGGGTGAGAGGTAGGCGACGCCATAAAGCCTCAGCAACTGAGTGCGTCGTAAAGCTCCAAGGACGTCTCACCTGGCGCGAGAAGATATGTGGTGCACTCCTGCTGCGTCGGGAGATATTCCGGGTAGCCCGGGCTGCTGACAGTGCCCTCTATAGACGACAGGATCTCCCCGGCGCACATGCTGACATCTATTGACGACCAGGAGAAGTTGACGCCCGGCCCAGAGGTTGACCAATCAGATGAAAAGGTGACAGTCGCAGCGTTTGATGGGGGAAAGATAACTGGCCTGAAAGAACACACTGATCTCAGCCCAGCACACGGCGGGTACGGAACCCTGCACAGCACACGGCTTGAAACACAGGAAAACGGTTCAGAGAGAATGGCTGTTGCAATTCAATGGATGTTGCAATTCAAAATGCTCCTGGCGAGCGGAGCAAATGAGCCGCAAACAAGCATAGCGGTCAACAGGTACACGGAAATCCCTTCCTGCGCCTAAACGGCAATTTTAGCGCCATGTCCTACGAGTTAATTTGTCGATAGTGACCGAGGAAGGGAAGTAATCTTGCTCAGCTTCGTTAGGTGAGTAGGCTGAACCATGGTGTATATGCCTGGCTTGCACTCAAACACAAATCATTACTGAACTTCCTCACGGATTTCCTCCATAACATTTCATTCCTGGGGCTGTTAGTAAAGCTGGCGTCAAATTCGGGCTGCATTTAAACTGAAGTGGGGGATGGGAGGAGGGCACAATGTACATAAATTCACAAGTTCACAAATTCACAAATTCAAAAGTAATGATGGTACGATATACAATTTTTTCCGGCTTGGCGTACACAATCAAATGATGTTCATAGTATGCTCAGGCGACATCGATGCCAATGAATGCGAGCGATAGAGCAAACGTGTGTAACTTGGCCTGGGCTCATCTAACCCCCTAAGTTAGGTGAGGGAAACCCATCCCCGGTAACGGTTTTTTGGTGGAATGTGCACGGATAGCAGGCATAACTTCCAAAGTCTTTCAGAACTCTATATCAACATTTTACAACACTTTAAAGGCGCCGACAGCGCACCACAATTACGGAATTGGAGCGCTAAATTTCCAAAAAAAAAAATGCAACATAGCTTTGCCACCCAGGGGATGACATTAACCTCAACGTGATGTATCAGGAATATATCTCACAATCCCACCAGCGCACACGCCACCACCACATGAGCTTACGAACACACCCGAACGCTTCGCCGCCCCCCCCCCCCCCCCGCCCCGCGCCCTCCATTGCGCCTACACCATTCATCATCGAAACCCTTTGTCGTTGTTTTCTTGTCGGCCCGTGTTAAGTCGCGCCAGCTGAGCGCAGGTCGGGCCCGCATTTCCCGCGTGCACCATTCGAGCGCGACAACATCGGCTGGACGCGAGTCCCAGGTGCGGGTCCGGGCCGGTGGCGGGTCGGCCCGATCGACCGGGCCACGCCCGCTGCCGGCGACGGCCCGGCCGGTGACGCCGCCGCGCCAGCCGACCGCATCCGTCCGCATCGGACGGCGCCGATCGCATCGCATCGCGTCGCACCGCATCGGAAAGGACCACACCGTACGGCGCCGCACCACAACGGGTCCAAGGCTGGCCACGTCAGGGACGCTCCGACTCTGGCGGGTGACGTCGGACCACGCACGAGCCGGCCACCCGATTGCAGGAGCGGGCGGACCGATCACGCATGGGAGCGCTCGAGCAGACCCGAAGAGCTTCACTTCACGGATCACAGTGGTCAGCGGACCAGGCCTTGGCGCACAGACGGGACACCCGATGACGACCGAGCGAGGTCCAGACAGGCCGACGGGACTCGATAGCGAGAGAGCGCTCTGGGCACGCCTGCAGGAGCCGATCACGAACGAGCGACATCTGGAGGTACTGATGGGAGTGACTCACACCAGAGTGCAGCCACCAGCTGAAGCGCGGCTGGCAAGCCGATCCCAGCCGACGGCGCCGCCTGCAACGCGAGCCCCCCACCCCCCTCGAGACCGCGAGCACGCCGGCCGACAAGCGTGGCGCCGCCGCCGCCGCCGCCGGCGCCCCGCACCCCGCGTCGCTGCTGGGTTATTCATGACGCTTCGGTCGTCGCATCGGGCCCGGTCTGCCGCGTGAAAAACGGCGCGTGCCCTATTCGATTGACGTGCACGATTGATTGATCGATCTACGTCCGACCCTCCACTCCTCGTGCTTGCTTCATCCTGCATCCTCGTGACGCCCCGCTTGTCCGGGCAGGCTGCGTGCGCCAGCCCACGAGTGGGCCGAGAAGCCCCTGCAGAGAGATCCCGATCGGGCGCCCGCCGCATGCCCCACGGAGGGGTCCCTGCGTGGGCTGAGGCTCGGCAGTTTACCCCAGAGGGGTCCCTGCGTGGGCTGAGGCTCGGCAGTTTACCCCAGAGGGGTCCCTGCGTGGTTGGCTAAGGCTCGGCGGTTTGCCCCTAGGCGCGTGTAATCCTGCCCCATCGTCATCCATTCTCTTTCATCTCATAGCCCTGAAATGATCCCTATTGGTCGAAACGGCTCCAATCAAAATAACCAAAAATAATAATAACATCAAAACGATTGGGATGCCGTCGCGACAACACTGACGGTCGGAGTCAGCATGCTGTGGGGGCGAGTTCGTTATGGGGGAAACGGGGCGGCGCGCGCGCGCTTCAGCAGACCCGAAAACGCTCCCGTGTAACGCCACGGATTTGTACTGACATCGTTTGTATCAGTCCCGCCAAAAATTGATCGCAGTTTAGGGGGAAAATGCCCAACGCGGAGTGCTAATGAGACCACCGCGGACAGCCGGGCTTTAAATGGAAAGCAAGAGGCGGAGCGCTGTAACGCGTGGCAGCATGTAAAGACTCGTGAAGTCGCGAGCTCTGTTGCGTCTGCTGTGTTCGCTGTAATGCGTGACAACATGTAAAGATTCGTGAAGCCACGAGCTCTGTTGTGTCTGCTGTGTCTGCTGTAACGCGTGACAGCATGTAAAGACTCGCGAAGCCGCGAGCTCTGTTGCGTCTGCTGTGTCTGCTGTAACGCGTGGCAGCATGTAAAGACTCGTGAAGCAGCGAGCTCTGTTGTGTATGCTGTGACGCGTGACGTGTAAAAACCCGTGAAATCACGAACTCTACTGCGTCTGCTGTGACGCGTGACATATAAAGACTCGTTAAGTCGCGAACTCTGCTGTGTCTGCTGTAACGCGTGACAACATGTGAAGGCTCGTGAAGTCACGAACTCTGCTGCGTCGAGCCATCGTGCGGAGAGCGAGTACGTATGCGCCTCGTGGGCGACAGCTGGGCAGGGACGCGGCTCTGCGCGGCAACAGGGACGCCTTCTGTGGCGCGGCGTTCATCAGGGGCGCGTGCACCGCCCTGATCCGGACCCGAGTCACGTGGGGGCCGAAACGCTGTGGGAGTGGAAAGGAGGGTCGTCTGTCGTGCCCAAGAACCACTGGCCCAGTTCATCGTGCTGATAAACTGCAGCCGCGCGGTACTCGGGGGACCGCTGCGGCATGATGGCCCGGGGCATATTTACTAGCATGACGGCCCGCATCTGTCGGCATCCAATCAGGACATACAAGTGCCTGCGGGCTTGCTTGGCTGAGCAACCGAGTGTCTATGGACGATCTGTGTTTGCATTATTTCTGGATACATTCAACGGCCGACATGGGGTTCCATGGCCGACTTGGATTCTGACTGTCGGGATGCCTGGCGGTAACCAAGTGTGTTGTACTGACTGCTCCTTTTTCTTTCTTTTTCTCACCCTTTTCTCGCCTTTTTCACTACAACAAATGAATGAATGAATGAATGAATGCACGAATGACGGCTGCCAGACACCAGCAGCATCAGGCGCATACGCGTTTCTTGTTTTTTTTTTCATATTGGCCGCCGGCGACTGGACGATCAGCCGGTGGCACGTTGGCGACACGAAAATGTGGAGTCGCGACAGAGTAAGTTACGTTGATGTATGGCCGGGCAGAACACAAACATACAAATAAATGGGTAGCAAATACAGGCAACGAATCGGTGCACGAGGAGATGCAAAGTTAGCCACGACTTTGGCTACAGTTTCAACGACAGCGTGTTGTATACGGCACCGTTCTTTTCAAAATGCCGACCTTCCCGGCCTGCCCAACGGATACTGGCGCAATCGTACGTCGCACGAACCCGCGTTGTTCACATGAATTAAGGGATGGTGCGTCGGTCAGCACTTTGAGATTGGATTCCTGCTTCTTCGCACTGTTCCTGCTGAAATACAGGATAAAACGTGAAGGGCGTAAAAAAACGGGCAAGTCAACCTAGAACATGTGCTCATCTGTCCAGTCCATCTGCGCACGTGGCACGTGGCATGTGCAACCCCACTTTTGGTCCCGCATAACTCCTCGTTGAGTTTTCTACCGAGCTATACCGCTTTGTTTTGCTCCGACTGCTAGCTTCCGAGACTGGGCGCCGGTTTCGAACGGCTGCTCGTCGGCTTTGTCATCAGCCGCATTTTTGGACCCGGCCGAGCAAAACCAATGGGCCTGAAACGGTCCTTGGGTCACGTGTCACGTCTGAACGCTGGAACGCAGCGACTCGCAATCTATCCATGGAGAACCTCCTCGTGCGTCCATGGGTCGCGTCGCGGTGCCCCCCCCCCCCCCCCTCCAGCAATCCACCGTTCAGGCCGTGCATGACGTCACGCAAAACGGCACAGGCGGACAGACGTACCCTAAAAAATCAGTGTATGTAGATGCACAATAATGCGGCCTCAGTCTCATCTGCGACGTGACCTGGTTGCTGAGCTATTTCGCCGGGAGAGACCAGACGGCGCAGTCAAATGGCGGAAGACAGTCGCTGGCGGAAGCCACTCAGAACGCATGACAGCCAACTTGGTGCAGTTTTTCGTTCTCAGAATTCAGTGATAGTTGTTTATGATTACATTCTCGCGAAAGTACAGGACGCATGCATAATCAAATGTGTAATGAGAGACAGCCTTGGCGACGAGGTTGGAGAACAATGGGAGCTGGTGCAATTCACCAACCGTTTCAAACCACACATTACGGACAATTATGAAAGCTTGATGATTGTTTTTCTCACCTACATCGTTAAAGTCAGCTGGGCGCCATCAAACTGTTTTGTTTTGGAGCTAACTTACGGCACATCAAAGTCGGGCGTCTGCGTTTGCGACATTCGGAAAATCGCGAGCTCGTTACTGTTCCAACATTGGTGCTGATAGAACTAAGGCTAACTTTTTCTTTGTTTACATGAACATAGTTGGTCTCGAAACTAGAA